CGCAGGCCCGACGTCCCCGAACCGGGGCCCCGCGCCCCGGACCCGACTCTCACCTGGTTCCCCGTTCGCCTCCGCGCGCTCCGAGAGTCGACCCACCACGGATGCCCGTCCCGCGCCCCGACACGAGCTAGAGCGCTTCCTGCCTCCTGCGTTGGACTGAGGGTCTGCTCACTGGGCCGTTGGCTTTTCAGTCAAGAGAGGCGGGAGCGGTGATTGGATTCTGCGGAAGATGTCTGAACGCTATTGGTGAAGAGAGGAAAGAGGGCGTGCCTCTTGCCTCGGGTTCATTGGTCGATCTAAAAATAGGCGCCCGAGTGGGTTGGGCTGGTGTCTGCCTGCCTCCTGTCATGTGACCGGGGTTTGGCCTGAGGTGGCTTCCGCCATATTTGGTGCTGGCAATGGAAGCCGGAATGATTGACTTGTACTAGGAGTGTTACTCTTTCTTTTTTTTCTTTTTTTTTTTTATTGACTTCAGAGAGGAAAGGAGAGGGAGAAATAGAAACATCAATGATGAGAGAGAATCATGGATCGGTTGTTTCCTGTACACCCCCTACTAGGGATCGAGCAGAGCTGTAGGCCGAAGCTCTATCCATTGAGCCAAACCAGCCAGGGCGTGAGTGTGTTACTTTTAAGAAATGTGGCCTCCCAGGGCTCAGTGGTTGATGGCTAACCTAGGAAGTCATGGTTCGATTCAGGTCAGGGCACATGCCTGGGCGGCCAATCAGTGATTCTCTCTCATCATTGATGTTTCTCTCTCTCTCTCTCTCTCTCTCACTCTCTCACTTCCTCTCTTAAATCAATAAATATACATTAAGAAGAGAAAGAAAGAAAAAAAAGAAAAGAAAAGAAAAGAAGCCTTGCCCAGCCAGCGTGGCTCAGTGGTTGAGCGTCAATGTATGAACCAGGAGGTCAGGGTTGGATTCCCCATCAGGGCACATTCCCCTGATTGCTGGCTCATCCCCAGTGTGGAGTGTGCAGGAGGCAGCCCATAGATGATTCGCTCTCATGATGGATGTTTCTATATCTGTCCCTCTCCCTTACTCTCTGAAATCAATAAAAATATATTTAAATATGTATATATAAAATAAGATACCTAGAAATAAATTTAACCAAGGAAGTAAAGGATCTGTACTCAGAAAATTATAAGACACTGAAGAAATGGAATGAGATAAATGTTGCCTCTACGCTGGGCACGGAATTTAGGGATTTTGTGATGGCATTCACCGGAGCTTGGGGTGACCAGTGTGGAGAGGATGGTTTGCACCTGCCGGGGAAAGGAGTCCTTCATGGCGCTGGAGTGAGAGAAATGGATGTGGCAAAAAAAAAACCTGTTTGCTGAGAGGCATGTCCTGAGTCAGACACTGTGCTAGTGCAGTTTCAGGTCACAAAACCAAAATTAAGATGTTTTCTCCTAGTACTTTGCTGAAAGGTAATGTTTACGGTAAAGGGAACAGGTTGTCACCCAAGTAACTATTGCCCAGTGAAGATGTGGACTATTTCCAACAAGTTCCCTTGCGTCTCTCAAGTCAGACACACGCCTTACCTCCCTACCAGCCTCGCCCCCCAGGCACCCACTATGTGGATTTCTATCACTAGAGCTTTCTCTGTTCTTGAATTTCATAGCAATGGAACATGATGGACATTTGGTTGTTTCCAGTCTTTGGTCATTGTGAATAAAGTGTAGGCAGGTATTTTTATGAACATGAGTTCACTTATCCATGGTAAGTACCTGGAAATGGACTGGTGGGCCCTAGGTCATGTGTGCAGCTATAGTAGATGCCGAGGTGTTTTGTGTGTTCGCTTGTTTTACAGTTTACATCGAATGTCATTTTGTATCAGTTTCAGGTGGATCATGAGTTTCCCTGAGCGGTAGTTCCCCTTCACACTTCACTAGCACCCTGTGAGAGTTCCAGTGACTCAGTCCTTGCCCACACCTGGTGTAGTCAGTCTTTTCTCAGTTATGTTTTGATTTGGGGATTGGAGGGGGGAGGCAGGTCAAAAAGATACGCCTGCTCTAGCATTCCCGTCTCCCTAAGCCCCTGACACAGTTACCCCTTCCACCACTGTTTCCAAGGAGATCCTAGCATTTCCATTTCATTTAGCCTCGGCTATCTTGGAGTCTATGTTCTAGACAAGGAATATAAAGCTGCCCTGACCAGGAATCGAACCGTGACCTCCTAGTTCGTAAATCAATGCTCAACCACTGAGCCATGCCAGCCGGGCACCTGTAGAGAATTTTTATAAGAGTCTGAGTCAAACTGACGACATATGCTGGAGAGGAAGTCCCTAGAGGTACAATTTCAGCCAAAAAGCCCAATGAAGGGAAATCAGTCAATCCAGAGGGAGGCGTTTCATACTATAAGTAGGTATTGTGTGTAATAATCACACCATAGCACTTACAGAGCTATGGGCACCTGCAATGTGCCCAGCAGGGCCAAAATGAGGGTGAGGCATGCAAAATTTAAGGGGCCACCCAAAACAAAACAAAAAACACTTCAGTCATCAAGATAAGTACTATTTTGGCGAGGAAGCAGTGGGGAATGGTCAGTGTGTGGCAATCCATTGTCCACGGAGCCTTCATCCCAAGACAGTGGGGAATCATCTGTCTGCTCTTCTGTGTCCGTTGTGGGGCTGTAAGCAGGGGAGTGACATGATCAGATTTGTGTTTGTATAAGACACTCTGGCAGGAGAGTGGCAAATGGGTTGAAGGAGGCAAGAACAGAAGTGGGGGAATTAATTCTAAGCTGTCCAAGCTTTTATAATAATGAAAAAAGTCCGACAGGACCTCATTCTGAGTTGTGTGTCAATGTAAGAAATTTCCAAACCTGAATATA